ATTACATAGTTGAGTTTGATTATAATATTTGTTAGATTTCAAGTAATCATGAATTTTGATTGTTAGTACGCTCATTTTTATTTTTTTTGCAAATGTATTGTATTGTATATATTTCTTTCTTCTCTTTTCATATAATTATTTTTGAATTGGTGTAATTGAAATAAAAATATTATAAATATCATACATATTGTAGTATCATATCAATAATCATACATACATTTTTTTGTGTAAATTAATTAGTAGCATATGACGAGGGCTTTGGCACAGTTTCAAGGAGCGGAACATGGTGATGGATCTACTTGTAAAGGAAGGCATAGAAGAAAACTTTTTGAAGCATATATAGAAATTATTTTTGCTAGAAATTTTCTTACTTTTAACTTGTAATAGTAGTTTTGTTACACCTATTGATAATGTTATTCAAAAACTTTGTTTCAAAAAAGAAATAAATGTCTACATAGAAGATTGCAGTCTACAAAAGATAGAGAAAATTTAAAAAGAAAATATATCTTCAATTCAATACAGTAGATTATTGTTTCAAATTTAACCTCTTATATTTCATTTACCTTACCACTTATATATCAGTTTTTGTTTAACTAAAAATATTGTACATATTGAAGAAAAATGAAAAAAACTATATATTATATTCAGGACGAAAACAAATATCTATATTATCTTCATTGCCTAATATGAATGTATATAAATATTACATACTACTTTATTTAAAAATAAGAAACTATCAATTTTTATATATATATATATATAACCGCGCGAAGCGCGGATAGTTTCACTAGTGGAATAATAAAACAAAATGGAAGGAGTAAGAACTTAAAATAAAAATAATATTAAATTAATATGGTGTTGGATTTTGATATTCAGTAACCTGCATAACTATATATATATTAGTTATGAGTGAATTCATATACTAGTGATACATGAATAATCAAATCTTTCATAAAATAATAGTTTAAATATATCCCTAGTTATACTTTCGGGCTAAATATACCCCTCCCGTTATACTTTTGGCTCATATTTGTCCTTATAACTAATAGAGGGATACATGTACAGCTAGGATTAAAAGAAACCATCCAATTTAAACCATACCCAATTGTAAGGTAATCTGCCCCACCCGAATTAATTTTACCCAACCCAATTAATATTATCCGACCCAATTTTAAAATTCAACCATAAAAAACATAAAGAATTTTATTTGTGCTTCTTTGCTTTAATTTACAAGAATCAAAATGTTTATCATCTCCACTTATGTTTACCAACTGAAAACATTTCTAAAACCTTTTCATGACAGTGCAGGCTCTACCTTGTCACTAAATAAAATATTATCTTGAATTTGTATCGGCTCTTTCCATGGAAGAGCAATCCGCATAGATAGTATCGGCTCTTTCCAAGAAGGTAAGAAGAGGAAGAGGACTTGAATTTGGTGGCCTTGGCGTCATCTCATCCATAATTTTGTACTCTCCCTAGTGTCTGTTAATTACTATATAGATCCAGTGAAAGAGATGGAGTAAACCAAAAAACTACTAATTTTGTTTGCAAAATGGATTATATTTACTGGTTCTCTCATTTTTTATCTTTGAAATTTAAATTGGGTCAAATAATATTAATTGGATCGGGGGAAATTAATTTGGGTAGGGTGGATCACCTTACAATTGGGTATGATTTAAATTGGATGGTTTCTTTTAATCCTAGTCGTCCATGTGTCCCTTTGTTAGTTATAAGGGCAAATATGTGCCAAGAGTAACGGGATAAGTATATTTAGCCCGAAAGTATAACTAGGGGTATATTTGAACTATTTCCAATAATACAAAGATATATTTGACCCTTTTCCGTATTAATATTTGTGCTACTTTAACCAACTACTTAGTTTTTATATTATTATTAGAACGTTCAATATAAACAAACAGGGGATGTAGCTCAGATGGTAGAGCGCTCGCTTAGCATGCGAGAGGTACGGGGATCGATACCCCGCATCTCCATTCTTTTTATGTATAGATAAAAAAGAAGTGATGTGGCACCTCTCAATGGCCAAGGATTTTATTTATATTTTTTGTGTTTTTTTTTACATTTTCTCTAATTTTCTTTAATTTTTTTTTTATAAAACCATCTCTTTAATTCATACCTCTTCCATTACATAAATTCAAATCTTAATTAATTTAGTAATATTACATAACTCCTAACCTTTCATATTCATAACCTTCAAATTATTTAATATACAAATCTGTAACTCCTAAATATTACACTACAAAAATCTACTTTGAGACATGTTTGATGATTATTTTATTTTCATTTTTCTTATTCTTCATCTTTGTCTTCTTTGATTTGATTTTGCAGGAGAGAAATGTATAATGAAGAATGTTAGATATTTTTGCATAGTTTGATTTTACGAGATAAAATTATTTGATGTCTAATACTTATAATTATCACTTTTTTCTATTGTAATTATACATTTAATATTATTTTTTTGGATTCTTAATGATACTAATTATGATTTTTTTATAGAAAAAATAATTTGTTTTTTCTCTCTTTTGCTTCTCTTTTTAGTTTCTTGAGATCTTTTCTTTGCTTATTCTTGTAGTTTCTAAAGACCAATTGTTTTTATTTTCTTCATCTCTTTGTAGATTTTGGAGAATTGAATTATATTATGTTGAGAACATGATCCTTCTTTCCTCTTCAAATCATAACTAAATATTCTTTAATATTTTTGCTTGATTAATTAACTTTATTTTTATGTTTTTGTTGTTGTTGTTGTTGTTGTTGTAAGGATTGTTTATAGTTTTCCAGCCAAATATCCAATGCAACAAGAGATGATTGGTTCCTTATCAGCTTAGTTAATTGGAAAACCGCCAGTATATCTTATTTTTACTGATCTGAAATTCAATTTCGTCTAACAATCTCTTTCTAATGCAAAATATGTTGTTCAAAATAATAGTAATTATTAAAAGTAATGTTTATTAATAGAAGCATATTGAGAGACTTTTAATTAATTTGAAATTTCTAAAACAAGATAAACAAAAAATATGCCATATAATAAAATTAAACCATAAAAAATGGTGGAGGATTTTACTTAAATATACTTTTGTTTATTAAAAAAAATACGTATTTTTTTAAACTTTTCTCTTATTTTTTCTATTTATTTAATTTTTATCCTAAACTCACACCTCTTCATCTTTCATAACCTCTATACTTACTAAGTACTTATTAGCAATATCTATAACTTCCAACTTTATACCTTCATAACCCTCAATTACTTAATGTTCAAGCTTGTGACATCTTAAAATCACATCAAAATAATATTTCTATCCAAACATATTTGTTTTGAGCTTAATTGTCCTCTACTTTAATTTTGTAGTGCAAAAGCTATCGATAAAGACGACTTTATGTAATTAATTGTATTTCTATTAAGGAGGATACAAAATAAGATATATAAAAGAGCAAAATTGATTTGGAATTTTTTAATGAAATTATAAGACCAAGATCATGAATAAAAGTTAGCATAAAAAACAATTCTCGAAAAACATTAAAATGTGTTTGTGGATACACTTAGTGGCGGGATATAATCAATATTATTATAAAGTTATTTTTAAATTTTCAATAAAATATGAATCATAAAAAATATAAGAAAAATTAATTAAGAGAATTCATTTTTGACATTTTGCATAAATTAGTAAAAAGCTAAAGACAAGCTAACTTGATTAGGTTAAGATACGATGCTAATTGTTACTGTTTTTTTTAAAATATAAATCAGTAAAAAAGTTAAAAACAAGCTAACTTGATTGTTTTAAGATACGATGCTAATTGTTACTATTTTAGATTAGCAAAGATGAAAAAAATGAAAAAGAAAATAAGAAAAAATGGAGAATTGAAAAATAGTGGTGGAATTAATTCTTTTGATATTTTAAAAATTTTTTTTTTAAAGACTAAAAGTCCCACTTTAAATTTTTTACAAAATATCAAAGGTGACCATATTTAATTTTGAGAACTCATTTAAATGGATAATAAAGTCATAAATTCTTAATTATTATATTATAACTAGCATAAAATAATAGCTACTATTCAACCCAAAAAAAAAGTATATAGATATTAGATAGTGCTAATTTAAGGATTTTTTTTAAATTTTTTGATAAAATCAATTCATGAATCAAGTTAAAATTACAAATTTAAGTGATAAAATTTGTTATCTAATCTATTTGAATTTGAAAGTCAAAAAAACTAAAACAATTTTACATCGCGCGTAACGCGGCTAAGTTTACTAGTTTACAATATAAGAGAAAAACATTTTTGAAAAATTGAAAAAAGGTCAAAAATATCTTTATGAAAAATATCTTACAAATATCCTTCATCCGTCTATCGGTCTAAATGAGTAAAAGTACCTCTAAGCTATATATTTTTAACTTCTTAATACCCCTCAACCTAACACCCTAAACTATAATCATTTTGTTATTATAGTTATAATCCAAAACTATTCATGTTCAATTACATTAACCAATTTCAATCTCTCTCCCCAACTTTAATGTAATTTCATCCTTGCCCTACCCAACCCACCAAAATATTGATCCCCACAATTAGTAGCTCCATGGTCCATAGCTATTTAAACTCATAATCAGGCATATTAACATTATACTCCGTGTCAAAGTTAGAATTTTCATTAAGAGGTTCAAAATATGAAGAAGTAAATACTCAAAAAAATCAAAAGGGTTCAACCTCTACTATGTATAAACAATGTAATTTTCCACCGAAGAGGATTTGAATGAACCCCTCAACCCTTACTAGCTCTGCCCCTGAATTTATACCACCCTACTGCTAGGTAAAGAGTCAGAGCTCAAGCAAGTTAATTAATCATACATATTAGTATTTCATGATACAGAGAAAAGCATGTCACATTTATGTAACAACAGAACTACACATTATTAAAAAAAAAAGGTTCAAAGTGAAATTTGAGTTTTTTTTTCTTTGATCAACTCCCAAGTTTCTTCACATTTGATTGCTTATGCAGATGTGTATAGCTTTGTAGTTACATACTATATAATTATAATTCCCTTTCCTTAAGTACACTCTAATCCTACTAACTTCATAGTTAAATTTCCTAATCTGCTTTCCTAAATCTACTTCACAAGCAAAGGAGAGTAGATGTTATGCTTTGAGAGAGCAAAATAGTATTGGCTTAATTGGGGATAACCGCGAAAATCCTCTGTTCTTATAAATCCTTCATATCCCATCACCAATTTGCCATCTAATATCGACATGTTGAATGTCACAACAACTAAGGGTGTATGAATATCAGTTCGTCTTCTTTGCATTCTCTTATCGCGACATCCATCACATTTCTTGATGTAGATGGTAATACATCACAGCATTGTCTTCTTGGTGATAGCAACTGCATATATAATATGTCATTGATTAGACCAAATGTTTCACAAAGTAAACACAGAATGGTACTCAACAATACAGTCAAACCTTTCTATAACAATATTGTTTGTCCCCATATAACATAATATGTCATTGATTAGACCAAATGTTTCAGAAAGTAAACACAGAAAGGTACTCAGTAGTGCAGTCAAATCTTTCTATAACAGTATCGTTTGTCCTCATATAACATAATATGTCATTGATTAGATCAAATGTTTCAGAAAGTAAACACAGAATGATACTCAGTAGTATAGTGAAACCTTTCTATAACAGTATCGTTTGTCCTCATATAACATAACATGTAAGATTAATTTCTACAGAAAACACGGTTGTTATAGAGAGGAACATTACCCGTTTTCTGTCGATTTCTAACTTTTGTGAAACAACTCTGATTTCTTCTAGTCTTCTAGGTGACACCATTGTGATAGTACAATTCTCAGGGGTTTTTTTCCTGTAAATAGTCTTGATTTGTCCATTAATTCCAGTAGACACATTATGTAGAAAATAAACAAGCTGTCTTTTGCAAGGATCAGGTTCATATGGCCTTGTATCAAAGTCATAATGTCTAGCTAAATCACTCGTTTGCCACGGAATATAACTCTCCTGTATACGTAGAGCATCGGGCAAGAAGATGTTATAGCTGAAAACTTGAACAGCGTATCCCCACGATACAGAAACTGTCCAAGTAAACCAACGATCGTAGCATACTGTTTGCTGCAAAATACGATGAGGATCGTACTTTGCAGCATCGTATAAATGCTCCAGAGATTTCATTTTCGTCATGTTTGGAAATATAGGATCATTCATCTCCAAATGATGCAGAGATACCAAAGGTCTTAGTGTATGTGCAGCCAATACTCCAAACATATTTCCTCTTACATCCAACTGGTATTACAAATTCCAGAAAGAAAAAAAAAAAGTTTGTGTCACTTACCTATTAGAATAAAATACCTTTTGAAATTTGTATCGTAACATTTATGTGACTATAAAAACATGTCATCAATTATAAAACACAAAACTTACAGTACTTCAATTGTTTCCAAATAGCAAATTTTAACACTTTCTGAAACTAACTATTAAGTGCTCATTTTATGGAACGGCATAATACGTAAACGTGCCCTTTAGCTGACATATGTGTCCTCCAACTTTGAATGTGCATAAGTAGACACTTAAACTTGTATAAAGTTGAACAAGTAGACACACATGTCCTACGTGACATAATACACATAGGAGGTCATGTAGGATGTCACGTAGGACATGTATGTCTACTTGTTCAATTATATACAAATTTAAGAGTACTCTACTTATACATACTCAAAGTTAGATGACATAAATATCAATTTAAGTCAAGTTAAAGGGAACCACATTTTTATGTATTATGCTAAATGGAACAGAGGAAGTAATTAATCATACCAAACTCTAATATGGTGACATAGAAATAGTGTAAGTAACATGTTCTAACTAGTTAAATTAGACTCAATATAAACAACTATAACAGCATGTTTGGTCAAACTTTCGAGAGAAAAAGTTACGAAAGAAAAAAAGGTACCTGATGAAAACCGGGTTCATGGGTTAACCCAACACCAAGCTCAGCCAAACATGAATAAATCCTAGCATCACTACCAAAAAGGTGAGGGTACCTTTCGATACACGTATCAAACACTTTGCCAAGAACTTTAGCTAACGGAGAACTTATAGCAATTCCAGCACCACCAAACGCCATTTCATACGAAAAAGCTTTATTCATCAAAAAATGTTCCGAATTCGATCCAATATAATACCATAGTCCATGATCATATTTCGATAACGTCTTCAACAAATTCTCCGTAAAAAAAACCGTATCATCATCTCCAAAAACATACCACCTAACATTAGAATGGTTCAATGCAACCGTTTCGGTTACAACACGAGCCACACGTATCGCGGAGGGTGTCCCTCCGCGAAACGTGTACTTAAATCGTGACGTGTCACCTGATATACAAATCGGAGGTAATGAAGAATCGTTAGCGTTGTTTGTATAATTAGGTGGCATTTTTTCAAGAAATACACATCCTCTCATATTTCGTCCTGGTTTCCACCACATCTTCACTAATTCTTTTCTAGCGGACCATGCGTTCTCGTTGGACGCAATTCCGAATACAATATGTTCAAGATTTGTATCTGATGATAATGATAACGATGATGATGATGAATCATTTTGGAGTGTAACTGACGTGTGGAGTGATTTTGTGTTAGGAATTGAAAAGTTGAAACACATGAGATAGATTATGAGTATGAAAGAAATGATCATGATGATATTTTTGACACCATTGGAACATTGATTTTTGTTGTTAGATACTTTAGATGAGTACATTTTTTATTTTTTATTTTGGTTTTTTGGAGGAAGAAAGTGAGAAGTTTTGGATTGGATTTAGTTAGTATTATTGGTGAAGTGAAGAGAGGGAGGCAGAGCCACTCTTAAGACCCGTAAACAACGCCCAAAGTAGAGTATGAAAATTTGACTTTTTTTTTTTTTCAAAATTAGTTTTATGTCCCACGTGTTATAGACTATAATACAAGGAAATATGTATGCACTAAAAACAAAACAAAAATAAAAATAAAAGTATTATATGATGACAGCTTAGGAATATGGTGAAAAGATTAATATTTGTCCATTTTAATATTAGAGATTTCGAATTTGAGTTCTTGATATAGAGTGTTAAGCTCCTTATTAAGTATACTCGATGCGAATCTATGTGATATAATTTAATAAGATATAAGAAAAAAAAATTCTTATATTTTCTTTATGTGATACAATTTGAAGTACATGCAATGGTTAAATTAAATAATTTTAGTGTGATTAGTTGTATTATTGTAATTTTTGTTTGTGATATTTATATAGTCTATTATTTATTGTGTTTTTTTATCATAACATTATTTTGTTGTTCTTGGTGTCCTTTTTTTGTAGGATTTGTGTTACCTTTCTAGTTAGTTGCTATGTTTTCTTTTTCATTGTACTTGAATTTATTACACTTGAGTTGAATGTCTTTTGAATACACTCTCTCTACTTTCATGATGTAGTAGTAAGGTCTGCATACACTTTACCCTCCACCTAAGTTGTGCAGACTCTTCACTTTCGATGCCGCACTTGTGTCGGATTCTCCAAAAACACATTACTTTTGGAGAGTCCTCCTTGTAAGATTTCGAAACATAGCTCTTTACATACCCTACTTGTAAAATTTCACGAGATATGTTATTGTTGTTTATTTCGACATTAAATTTTTTATATTTTTAAAATATGCTTGCATACTTAAAAAATTCCAAATATTAAAAATGTTACTGCAAAGACATGGTCAAGGACTCCTTTAATTTATTAAATAATAATTGTGTCATAAAGTGAAATATTGGGAATAGATGATGATGATAGTATAATAATGTTTTAAGTTTTGGTTTTATGTATTAATTTTTCGGATAGAAATTCCAAGCGGTGGATCTAAGTGCATGAAGCTGACGTAGAAACTACTCCATTACATATACTATTTTATTTTATTTCAAATAAATAAATAAATGACAAGTAAGAAAGTTTGTGCATAAATTGAAGTTTAAGAAAGTTGCATGGTGGTGACTGGTGGTGTGTTAATTAAACAAGGATGTGGTAATTTAATGACAAATCACGTAGAGGTATTAGAGATTCCCTCGTATTATTAAAATTAAATTTCTTTCTTCTAATTTGGAGTTAATAATACTATACCTCTTGACATAATGACGATTAACGATTGAGAAACAATACTGCTCCACGTGTTGAATGTGAACGATAACTTTCTTATGCAATATTTTTCGTTGATTTTTTTTTTTGTTTTACATAATACATATGTCTTTTTATTTGGCCTTAATTGATGTTTATGATTTTTAATTTTGGGTGTGTATAATTACACATTTAAATTTATATAAAATTAAATAAATAGATATATTCGTCCTATATGACATTTTATATGACAATTTTATGTCCTACGCGTGTATTATACTACGTAGGATGTGTGTCTACTTGTTTAATTTTATACAATTTTAATTGTCTAGTTGTGCACACCTAAAAATAAAAGGCATAATCAACATGAGTTGTCGTGAAGTAGTGGGACTGCTCCACGCTTAACAAGAGATCTCGGGTTCAAGTCATGAGTATAGAGAAAATCTTGGTATAAGAAGTGTCACCCTCAAATGGGCCCTACAGTGCGCAATCCAAATTGAATCAAGGCTCTAATACAGGCTTTAGACATCGGACAAATTTTTTAAGAAAAATAAAAATATAAATATCAATTAAAAGATATATTTATGTATTATGACGATCTGTTCTAATAAATTAGGGATGCTATTGATATGATGGAAGTTATTATTTTACCATAGGCGTGAAAGTGCTCTTAGTTTTTCTTCTGCAGTTTGACAAAATTGTTGCTTTTGTTTAGCTTTCTACTTTTAGTCTTCAAGTTTGAAAAGTAAACCATTGGCCTAAATATTTGAAAATACCTTTGGAGATAAAAACCCCATTTGTTTAGCTTTCTGTGTTTTGGTAATTGAAATTTCTACTATTTGGTGACCTTTTTTGCTAATTGAAATTATTATTTGGTACATAAACAAGTGGTATTATCACTCACTACAAGAAAAGTGTGAATTATATGGGAATTTTCCGACGGATTAGCATGAAAATTTGCAGAAAAATAAGTTTCCTACATATTTTCATTCTAATCCCCATGTAATTCACACTTTTATGATAGTATAACTAGCTAGGGGTGTTAATGAGATCTTTAAAAACTGGCCAAATCAATCTAATCAAATTGCACTCATATTTTATGAGTAAAAAGATAATGATATTATTTTTCTAATATATATAGTATTTTTATGTTCATTTTTACTTATTCATAATGGACTTATGACATATCTTAATGTATATATATTTTATCATGTTATTCATATTAATTGGTGTATAATTTTAATGGACTTGAAAAATAATCTGGAATGAATAATTAATGTTAAAGGTAAACAAAAAAATTAAATTAGTTTTCTCTTCATATGTTTAAGTAGACAGGTAAAATTGACAAGTAAATATAAATGGAGGGGGAACTAGTTTAAATTTAAGCTTCTTATTTTACTGTTAATGAGATGATTTATATATCATCACAACAAATTATATTTAAATATTTTAGATCATAAATTTTGAAAGTCTTCCTCTCCCCACCCCCGAAAATCTATTTTCACTCGCACAACTTAATATAAATGAAGTAACGATAAAAGCAACATGTTAGGAACGACAAATCAATCTAGTTATAAAAAAAATTTCTACAGAATAATTAAAATAATTGCTACAAAAATAAATATAAAATAAAAGAAGTGGTTAACATCTAAACCTTAATTAGAGCTTGAGTTACACACAAGGAAGCTATAAAAATATTATACGACCTCCTATATTTGTAGTGGGCGTATCCAGCTAATTAGTTATGAGTTCATTTGGAATCATAATTTTTTATTTTGACTTATTATAACAATAACTTTACTTCGCCATCATATCAGGGTTTGGTGTTGAAATGTTCAAACCATAAGCATTATACATATGTACGATGCGTATAACCAAAACCTATACATATAGGTTTTCACAAATTGTTATAGTAATTAATTTTGTAGCTTAATCCTTTTTAGACTACATTGGAGTTCACAGAGAAAAATAAAATATACTTTAATTTATTTTAAAAGAAAAAGAATGACCTAGTTTCACTTGACACAAAGTTAAAGTAAATAAAGAAAAAATTTCAATCGTGTGGATCTAAATTAAAGTTATGTCGAATGTATCAAAGTGTCTTTTAATCTTATGGCCGTAAACATGTTCCGTGGAAAGCTAAAATTAAAGTTATGTCAAAAAAGAAAACGGATCATTCTTTTTAATAGACTAAAAAAATAAAATAAATCATACTTTTTAAAATCAAGAGTTATAATTTCGCATCTCAAGAAAAATAAATTTGGTTATGAGCCTATGCTACACCCCTGCTTGGGATGGGTTGTCCATATACTATGCTAAATTGCTAATCAACCAAAATGCACTAATATTTAGGTAGTAATCGAATATGGTTAATATAGATGAATAAACCTAACATCTAGAGTTGGCACGTAAACGGGTTGAGTTGTATTTGAGTGAGTTGAAATGGGTTAATTAGATGTCTCGGGTTTGAGCTTTAAGTATGAAGAAAATCTTGTTAGGAGCGTCACTTTCGAATGGACCCTGTAGTGCGTGATTAAAATTTAGTCAGGACTTCAATGCGGGCTTCGAACACTAGGTGGGAAACCAAAAAAACCAAAATAAATAGATGAGTTATTGAAGCATTCAACAGGTACTTGGTTTGAAATAAACTAATAAAATGTGGGTCATAACTTATGTTCAACTCTTACTGAGGTTTAATTATTTTATTTTCTTTTATAAAATTTTAGTACTTAATAAAACTATTTTTTTGTTCATTTTCGAAAATATTTTAATAAGATTTCTCATGAATCAATTGTACCATATATTAGGTGTGTTTGGTATGAAGGAAAATGTTTTCCATGAAAATGTTTTCTTGAAAAACAAGTGGATTTTAAACTTATTTTCTCATGTTTGGTTGTTGAGTAGAAAATATATTTCGAAAAATATTTTTTAATGTTTGGTTGGTGAATGAAAAATATTATTTATTTTTGGCTTGAAACTAGAAAATACTCTTTAGAAAAATAATTTCTGACCTGATGGAGTAAAAAATGAAAATTTTAAAAATTTGAATTGTTTTTCAA